GTACAAAATTATCTTTTTAATGCATATGTATCTGTGCCAACACGGAGATCAATAAAGTGTTGTTCGCATCTGCGTCTGCGCAGGTGCGTGTTAACCACCACCTGTTCACTGTTTTTTTCTGCGTCTCCTCTATTCATGCACTTGCGGACGGAGGCCTTACCATATACTCTACGCGGAAGAAACCGTAAATCAACTTTATTTAGGATTGGTTGAATCAATTTATACTCGTAATGCTACTGATGCATAAATTTTAGTTTTTATCCTATAATATTATATAAGGCTAACTATCAACGTCTGAATATTACGGGAACAAAAAATTACAATTGTAATTTTATGATTTCCTTTAAAAAATCTGTAATAGTTCTCAGCAAATAAACTAACATAATTTTAAGACGAAACCCCATTTTTAGCTACTATTTTTTATTTTTCTTTTTTTTTTTTTAGTTACGTAGCGAATAATTGCAGTTATGTAACTGTGGATAAAATTGTTTACTATAAAACGGACGAGATAAAAAAGGTCACAATTACCATAACATACAAAAACCAATCAGTACGGTACACGCAAAAAATCTTTTAGAAACATAGTGTTAGGATGTTTACATTTCACTATAAAAACATAATATTCACAATCAAAATTTTTAACAACTCTGTCTATTAATTAATTGTATCTGTTGAAAAATTAAACATGTAGATAATAAGGTATCATATAAAATGATCTCCTTATTATATTTTTATATGAAATAGAAATCTAATAAGTTACTTATTATTCTTAGATATATTTTGGAGGTTTATTTTTTATAAATTCTCAAAAACTTGAGTAGTTAGAAACATCGTTTTATTTTTCGTATTCACTTATTGTTATTATTTCAGATTTTAATTTCAGAAACTTCGGTGATAAGGAGGAATAGTTTTTTTTTTAATCATAAGTCAAAAATTATACAACTAAAAATAAATAAAAATTAGTTTTAAAATGTGCAAAATACAACCGTTGCATATGATACCCAACTTGAATTAATAGGCTGATTAAGAAATATTGAGTACTCTTTTTAGACTAGCAAAATGTGTGGGACAATAACATGCAAAATTACACAAAATCTCAAGTTGGTAGATTTAGTAGTTGCTGAGATATAGATATAGACGGACAAAGGCGTACTTGAAAGTCTTTATACCTTTTGGTATGAAATCTGTAAAATGATATAAAAAAATCCATAACAAAGAATACCCATAATTTATTGCATTGATTTCAAATTATTATAAAAATGACTACACTACCAGACTTATACGAGTTTTAATTAATAACTTGAAGGTGATGTAATATTCTTAAAAGCTTAATTTTAGCCAATTTCTACATGTGTTGAATGGAAATTATTTTAGACATTATATTTATTTCTGTATAATTAATATCACAATAATAATATGAATGAAATTGTTATTTTCATTTATATTATTATTGTACGCAATATGATGTAAAGAAAATGACTTCATTCATATATTATACTCTATAGTTAATGATTCAAAGTGATGTCATTTTTAGCAATTAAATCAACAGGAAAATTATAATTCCCTAAGTATTACTTAATATAGACTCATAGTAATAAAACTTACTTAAGCTGTACTTGATTACTTGAGCTGATAAGTTTAAAATAATGTATTATTTTGAAATTTTTATTTTTTCTTTTTATTAGAAATATTAATACATATTACAATATAGTAAATTGTTCCTAGAGCGTTAAATGGAAGATTGAAATTTTGTATGATGTTAATGGTTTTTTTTTTATGGATGAATGTGTATCTAACGTGCCTATATCTGCTATGTTTTAGGGATAAATTATTGGGACGATTTTATAAAACTTCATGTCTTAGGCAGCCTTTACAATAGTGGTGAAATAATATAATTCTTGTATCGGTCCCCCTAGATATATATTATGGTTTAATTTTTTTCAGCTATAATAAAGTATCAAGAGTTGTATGTTTGTATAATCATAATGGTGACCGTAAGCGATCATTTAACAAAATATATGCATACATATTAATCGTAGAAATATAATATGAACATATAGTAAGAGCAGAAAGTTAACGTAATAAATTATTACTAAATTAAAAAAAAAAACAGTCTCAACATGTATTGACATAGAAATATATATATATATATATATATATATATATATATATATATATATATATATATATATATATATATATATATATATATATATATATATATATATTATTTATGATTTTTAGGTTATCCTCCTATATATTAGGTGTTGTGTACGTATTATTTTTTTCGTCTTGTTTTTTAATAATTAATTTCCATAAATAAAAAACTCGAAATAGACTACGATTATAAAAACAGACTTATAAAATCACACCTGCTTTTTGAATAATTCATAGAAATCACATTATTCAGATTATATCCAGCTTCGTTTTATCCAAAGATTTCGGGATTCCTTTTTCTTAGATATTATCGGCCGTATAACCCTACCAAATTCAGATACAACCTATTCCGATACTTTCTGTATAAACAGTATCGAATAAATAATTATATAAAATTTGTTATTGACGAATTATTGACATCAAAGTGATCAAAATTTTTTCAAATATCTCTTAATAGTCCATTATTAAACAAATTGCAGTGTCAATGAAACAAGTATGCATTGTACAATCTAAAGATGTAATGTAAATTAGGTATATTCTTTTCATAATTGTTAACTTATTGAGAACGTAAGTTTTCACAAGTAATAATTTATGATATTTATTATATTTCATAGAAGTCTTAATTGTTTTAATAATCATATTATAGATTATAACGAAATGTAAGCTCTGCAAAAGTTATTTATGTGATTTTCTGTGAAGCTTCATGTGAATTATCGTAATATGTACATATTTTTTTTAGATAGCTTTACGGCTTTGGATACAATTCCGCTAGTGTTGCACCATTCACCTGTATCGACTAATTATCTATATTATTTATTAGAGATTTTATATTTTCCGTTAATATCTTTTACTTGGTTTCAAAAAATAAATGGTTAAAGGTTATTCTAGCTACAAAAAAAATCGAATTTGACAAATAATGCAGGAATATGTAGTAATCATTTTAATGTGGATAATTATTCTGAAAGCTCAATAAAGTTTAAACGTTTAAAGCATTAATGTTGTACCATTACGAAATTTGGGTTACAATGCTACGACTGTACATTTTTTAAATATATTTTGTATAAAAGAATTATTTATTCTTAAATTTTTCATGTAATTACATAACCTAAAGTCATAAATGAAATGAGATTTTTAATAAGTAATACCCAAAAATATATTTTCGGCAATATAAATAATATATTACTACTATTATTATTTAAATCTATATTATTTGTATCTATAATAGACTAATTGTATCCTTCGACTTCGCCGGCTTTAATCAATAAGCTCATTAAGTATCCTATGTGCTACATCAGGAAACAACCTACCCATTTGCCAAATTTTGATCTAATTTATTTAGTAATTTTTGCATGAAACAAAATATCTGACCACTCGTCCATTTATAATATTAAAAGAATTTTATTTAAAAAAAAAAAGATTTAAAGTATCCAAACCAGTTAATTGGATATAAAAATTAAATCACTGATTTTGATAAAAATCTTTTGTAACCGATCCGAAAGGACCTAATTATATATTTTAAAATAAAAATAAGTATTATACATATTAGTTTACAAATGACTTAATTCTAAGGTAAAAAACGAAAGAATACTGAATCTGAATAGAAAACCACCCCTTTTTTAGAAGTCGGATGATTATCATATTTACAAATAGTATATTTTAATAAGTTAGATAATATGTCTGTAATTTATTTATTTTAAAGTTAAATTTTATCTTTCATTTAATTGGTAAAAATATGCATGATGCCTATTTAAAGGTTTTTAGTTCGGGTCTACTTACAAATTTTTACTCCTAAACTGTGATTTTTAATTAATATGATTAATGCTTTTACCGATTTTTATTCTCATAGATAAAAATAAATATCGATAAATTCAATTTATTGTCAACATCGATCAATAACTTCTTTAAGCTATAGACTAGAGTACTACGAATTTAGAAGAAAAGTCACTGATTTACTGTTTTTAGTTTATCACTCTTTCTATGTTATCCTTATTCTTAAATTAAAACATATTCCAGAAAATAATGGAAGGCTCAATTAAGAATTTTATTGTGTATATAAACAGATGACAATTCGCTTTCCGGTGAAGCTAGGGTGCGGCTACGATGTGCACAAATGTAGGACAAAACAAAATAGGTCACCGAGCTAGGTCACTTTTTATTAAATTCCAACAATATAAGCTATAATATTAATAAATTAGATACCTCTGTACTTTGTTTTTTGTACGGTGCTTACGCCAATTTTATCAAATTAATAGATTGGTTCTAAATTGAAAATATTTAGATGGGTAGGTTAAGTAGTATGATATTTCATATATCTAATTTACTAAATAAGTAATAATAAAAAAATTCCCTTTAAATTTTGTTATATCCCACACAAACCCAAATGCCTGTTTATAATTATAATAAATCTACGCCATTTATATTTAATTCATTATGAATCTTCTACCCTGGCTAGGCTCATTTTCTGGGTGCGGGTGGTTGATTGTATGCGTCGGGCGACGTCCGAACGTTGCGTGTGTGCGTGCTAGCGGGGGCGTAAAGTTGAGTGTGTGCCCACTACCGCATGCCGACAGCGGTGGCGGTGGCGGCACGACCCCGGTTGAGCAGCCGGCGACACGGGGTATGTTCGCACCGCACCGAGGGGACTCGCACGCACACATCCGCACCCTACTTCATCTCGTCATTCTGGCATCAAACAACATAGCGGGTCGCGCACACGTGCACAATCTACAAAACGCGGTTGCCTGCCGCTTGTCTACTCGCCTCCCCCCTGCTCTGTTCTGATGCCTGCCCTGCAGGCGGTCGACTCCGCTTGCCACATTTTGTAACACTACTCGACTCGACTCTATACTAGTCGTATTCGAGTCTGCGTACGCGTTACGCGTATCGTGAGCGACAATCGCCTGCGCTCTTTGTCCTGTGTAATTTCTATATGAATTTGTTGTACACAAAAACAAAGTTTTCAAGTAAGTGAACGGACGAGGCCGCCGGTGCATAATACAGCTGTATTCTTGCACGTTCGCGCGCAGACTCCGTACGCAGTGGAATAACAAGCTCCTCACCCATTAAAGTAATGTGGTGTTTCTAATTTCTAATGGAAAGGAAATCAAAGTTCCCATTTGCAAATTGACATCCTTTTCCGTACTTTGTTTTGGTTAAGATGACGAAAATGCCGTGTTAAAATATCAATGAAGTATACCGGCCTTTTGGCATACTTCGCTAATAATGTGAAATGTTCATTTGTGAGTCATATTCGAGCTGCAATGTAAACGAAATGATGGAATTGCAATTAACCGAAACGAACAAATGGAATCGCGGTGGTTTCTTGTCCACCCTTAACAGAAGTTTTCGTTTGGCAAGTGGAAAATCCAGAAGCGTAAATAGTTCGCCTATTGAAAACAAATCTACGTTAGAACAAACTTTAAATATGTCAATGGTACGTATATAAACTTTAATATAAATCTAACGAATTATTATTATGATAAAGCTATATAATATTTAAAAATAGTTGATTAACATTTTGTATTCACAAACATATTAAATAAAAAATAATAGAAAGAGACAGAATGTACTGTTGACGCTTACATCCATGCTGTGGCGCTTAAACTAATATGACATACTTTCAAGTAAATTTTAGGATAAAAAATTTATTTATAGATTTATAAGTTTTTTACAACAAAGCTAAAATACATTTTATTCATAATGTAAAAATCTAAAATTAAGTAAGCATAATAAGTAAATAAACGTGAAATATTATTTATTATACATTTAACGTAATGAAAAATATAACTACAGAATACTGTAGATATCGTATTAATAATATTGTATTAATTTATAAACTTCATTGTTTGAAAGACAATGCATTCTTCATTCCATTTACCGACTACGTTTTGGGATGTTGACATGTGATGTGTGAGTAGATATATAATTAATTCTAGGCATATGAGGATGGTCATTCATATTCATAGTATATTCCAGATACTTTTACGGATTAGGATTAGTTTCCTGGGGCTTATTATATTATTATTTATATTATACATAATTAATACATAAGAGTACTGATTTACATAACTTTACATTTTATAAAGTTGAGTTCACAGTAGGTAAGTCACGAGTTAAAATCGTTACTTTATTATCTGACACTATAAATAATCACGACAATGCTCATTGTAACAAGTCACTTGGCCGTGTTGTATTGTGCGTAAGTACTTTTAAATACACGCGGTGCAATATGGCGTAAAAGTTACAGATTATGTCGACCGTACTACATATTTCATGGTACATTTATTTTATGGCGCATTACCTGACTAGAATAAGAAGCTATTGCTTTATCTGACCATGTGTATTTATAAATTGATTTATCTGGTAAGGAGAATGACCAGAATTATTATAACATTTTGCTTATTCCATGAACATGCATTTATAAATTATTTTAAAGGATTAAATACTATAAAATCCTTAAGCACATTTATAAGTAAAATAAACCTATAGATAGGTAAGCACTTTTTTTATAATAGAATTTACAGTTGTAAATACCAACAAAAAATAAGATAATTGTTTATATTACTTTTAGAGGGAACGATACATGTTTTGTATATATATGTTTTTTTAGTATTATATTATCTGTGCTTATATACTCGTTTTTAATCTTTTGTAGCTTCAAATGTATTTTTAATAATTGCCATAAAAAAAATTACAGTTAGTAATACCATTTATATAGTAGATATGACTAAGATAAAATTGGTTTTGAATTTTAAAAATAATTATAATAATATGTTGAAAATATTTTTACAAATAATGGTGGGGTCGATTCTGAGGCGCCATTTCCTTTAACATATCTCTTAACCTAATATTTTAATTAAATATTTGCGTGAAATTATTGTAATATGAACCATAATAAACTAAATTTATAATATTTTTGACATAAATCTTGTAATAGAGGGGGGAAAGGGATTGTTAGCAATGGAGTTTGACAGCCCCCTTGTTAGCAATATGGCCCTATTAGGTCGATCTCCACGTGGTTCCCCCTGGAAACCATCGTGAACAATTCTTATTGAATTCGTCACGATGGGCTAACTGACTTGCTTCGTCCTTACCTATCATCCTTCACTGGTGCCCCGCCGGTGTATACCGATAGCGCGGATGGAGTTACCATTCCATCATCACCCATTAAAAAAATCTTGTAATAGATTTATGTTGTCATTTTGTTCGTATTGGTTCTTAAAGATTGTATTGTGACATCAAATTTTAATTTAGAGATGAGTTTTGAAAATTGGCCAAAATCGACACCATTCTACCTACTCCTATTCTATACATCTACCTCCTGTTTAAATATTGTACTCTCTAAAGTAAAACTCATTTAACCTTACTCGCGGAAGACAAAAATCCTTTTTATGTAAGTCAAGGACTTTTATGAATTTATGTATATTATTCTTTGTTTTCTTTTGATGAATATTAAATTACGCTAAGGATTGCTATCTTCTCCGCAGACCTTACAGGATCCATATACAAATAGGTCAGTCAATTCTATCAGTTATGAATTATAAAAATCATTGATCGCTAATCATAGATCAAGGGTCTTTATAGTTTCTAACACATCTAAGATGTTGATAGAATAGAAGCATCAGTCATACCAGTCATTGTTTATCAGATGTGGTTAAACGCTAAACCTGGTTCTTTATAATTCTATGAAAACAACAAAGTGTTTTAATAATGTGTTTTCACCTTCCAGGGACTAAATTCTTCAAACGACGCTTCAAGCGCTTTGAGGCCACTCGAGATAGTTGCGCCACGTATCGACACCTACCGCTTCTCAATGGCCAACTTGGAAGAAACCCAAGATGCTGATCTGGACGCAATCCTCGGGGAACTGTGCGCACTAGACTCTGAGTACGATGAGGAAATTTCAAGAGTAGCCTCTGGTGAGCAAACATTTTGTGTACTCGTATTAAACTTAGATATCTTATTACAAGAAAAAAAATTTTTTTTTTATCTGAGTAAACTTAAGTTATAGGCATTTTTGATAATTTTACCGTTTTTTTTAACTACTCATATTTCAACTGACGGGCAAGTAACGCAATTTTTCTATTTTCAAATAAAAATATATTTATAAATAAAGGAATGAAATAACTAGTAATTAGATTCAAGATCTCCAAGGTTTCATCTATAAAATAACAAATATGTCTACTTAGTCAAAACTCGTATCTAAGTATTAGACAAATAAATGTATGCTAAAAAAATTTATTAGGGTTAGGTCAATTCAAATAGACGTACATATATAATAAATATTTGTATTGTTCGGAGATTGAACTCTCAAGCATCGGAGAGTAGAGCAGTGTTTTTGCACTGCCACATTACCAATCAATACTTCAAATTCTCTAGTAATGATATAGTAAAACCATTGTAATATTATAGTTCAAATTAATCTATATACTTACTTCACTGCTACTTTGTATTCCGGTGATTTCATTAATGAAGTTGCAAATATACCGTTATAACTAATTTATTTTAGGTCTGATATTTATTAAACCTCATGTTTTCCTTAATTTCATTCATAATTACCTATACGAGTATACAAGAATGTAGTATTTAATCTAGGAAATTAAACAATAATGAAAATAATATAGAATAGTAATCGTATCAATTAATTATCAATAATTCATTAAAAGTTAGATATCACATTAATATTATTATTATTTATTATATTATTACCAGAAGGAGATTTTGTACAGAAGTCGTTTGCTTATTAGGACATTTGTTTAATAGGACAGTACATCTGTCCCATTCGTGTTTCTATCGTGAAACAGTTGTGTTTGTATGGCGTTTATAAATAAATATTGCATATATTTATCTCATAGCCACTTGTCAACATCATCACTTCCCTTTTCATAAAATTGACTAAATAAATTGTACGTAAATATTTCACCTCTTTCTTTCTGACTAGCAGCATAGACACGACAGCGACGTTTTCTTCATACATTCATTTTTGTTGTCATTCTCCCTGTGTCAATCGTTCGCGTTCTGTACTCCTGATTTCTGCTTGTTTTATATTATTTTCCATATGTTTCCTTTATAAACACCTTCTATATATAATATGTGTAAATAGATAAAGCTAGTTGTTCAACTTATTCACCCCGAACAGATACACTTGCATGGCTGTGTTTTGGTTTAAATAGTGAGATATGACAATGAATTTACATCGCACAAAGGTATAATAGGAATTAGTATTAAGGAATGGCAACACATGTGGGTGAAAGGGGTTTATTGGCGAAACAGTACAGTAAACTCTGTTATGTCCATAGTACTAATCATGTTTATAGGCGACGATTACCACTTTTCATGAAGTGGGCTGTCAGCATATTTGCCATTATAAGTTGCATAAAAAATATATTACAACTTAAATAAATACTAGTATGATAATAAAAGTAATTACTATGATATCAATCATCGCCTCGCTCGACTTCTCATATCCGTGTTGAACTAGATTGTCTTAAATGTTTCTAGAATTTATAACAGGCTACGTAGACACGGATCTTTGTCCTACGTGTATCAATCAACACAGATAGGATTCATAAAAATATATATTCTCTTCACTGTTCTAGTTTTAAAATAAAAACGTGGCACATTTGTTTTTTATAATACTATCAAAGGCTCACGGTTTGTCTTGCGTCATTTATATATTTTTTTTCTTCAAACACATCATAATATTATAATCTATTTTTAAGTTATACACCTATTGCAAAGTAGCAACATTACAGTTACAAAAAAAGTTACAGAACATATAATATCATCAAAATATTCTTAATTATATAATACTCAAGGTACCGTCGAGTCTGAATAGTATTGACTTCGTTTACATTTTTTTTTTATTATGAATCTACCTATACATAAAAAAAATTAATTCATTGGAATTCATTGTTTTTAATTGCGTAATTTGTTTAATGTAATAAAAATAGTCTAAAATTAAAAGAGCTCTATAGACGTTAACCCCTTTATTCATAAAAACTAAAATCTTCTACTCGTACAAATATATTTTATTTATTACACTGTTTTGTTACTTTCTATCAAATTAGGGTATTTAAATCAAAAGAAAGAGACAAAATAGTTCAATAGCTAAAATAGGTTCATGAGAGGTGCGATGTATTTATGAAGGGAGTAAGACTTTAATTAAAATAATGTTTTCTACAATTCTGAATAAATTAATACTATTGCACTACATTTACATTGAGTGCATTCAAGCCTAGTCCCTTGGGCAAGTTGCGTTCGAAATATCTTGCTTGGTGTATCACACTATATTTAACTAAATTGACCTGGGTTTACAGGTTACTCTTCAGTTTCCAAAGAGAGAGGCGAGTCGAGCACCGAGAACTGTCCCCAAAGAACCGACTGCGGCAAAGAGTGTGCCGATGGAACTCCAATTACGCGTACCGACTCGCCTGACAATGACTCCGCTTTTAGTGACACTGTAAGTATACTGTTTAACCGACTTTAAAAAGGTGGAGGTTCTCAATTCAGTCGTTTTTTATTTTTTCATATTTATTACTTTATAAGCCCGTCAGTTACAAACTAATTTGGTAAATTATTTTTTATCTGAAAGGATATACTTACGAATTGGTCCCATAGAAATTTTATCAAAATGAGTTCAGCAGTTTGGTTTTTAAATTGAAATAACTAGTTTTTCCACAATTTAAATCGGTGTTTTATTTGGGAAAATACTATCTTAATTATTATAAAAATTTACTCTCTTCTTATGATTGTAATCTTAGATTGTGCATTCAGAATCAATAGGTGTATCATTGCATTTGTTGTATGAAAAGAACGGAGAATAGACCTTATCATCTAGAATTTCACCATGCATAAGGGTCAAACACATTCCCAGTCCACACTGGCCTAAGCTGAACTAAATGAGTCTAATTCCTTTTAGCTTAATTCACTTAGCTTAACGTACTTCCAACTACGCAAGCTGAGCTCGGTTATGCAAAGTAAAGTATCCGAGTAAAGTAATATACGTTACGAGTGATTTAAGCACGAAATATTATTATTTTCAAATATTTTCTATTTTAATTTTTTTATTGTATTTCACCTTTTGAGTTTTATATCTTTGAAAGGTTTGAGTTTTTGAAATATTAATATTTTCATCCTCATGTATTATTTTGTGATTTGTATATTTCGAGCGTAACCCCCTCCCCATCTCAACCCATTGCAAGTAGTGGTCTTCCTTTACCCACGCATAAAAAGTGGCGGTTGGCTTAGCTTGCATTATCGAGTTAACTAGCTCACATAATCGTATTACTTCGCTTAGCATAGCTCTTTGTGTGACTAAACTTCATCTCTGGAATTTGATTTGTGATTACCTCATGTCTATAGGCGACGGTAACCACTTTCCATCAGGTGGGGCGTCAGCTTGTTTGCCATTCTAGGTTGTATAAAAAAAAAACCTTTACTGGAAAGTAATTGGTATATATTATTAATTTTATATAAAATCATTATATCAACTCTATTTTAACAAAAAAAAAACAATAAACATGTTTTTGAGTAATAATAGCTACTTAATAAATAAAGTACCAATGATGACAAAATAAAATCATTGTAAACTAGGACGTTTACGTTAGTCACCGTTAATGTGTTTAAATGTTAATAATATTTTTAAATAATTTTAGGTTTCCATGCTCTCGAGTGAATCATCCGCTTCCAGTAGTGCCAGTGCTAAGTGTAAAGCGCTTAAATTAAATATTCAGGAAACTTTAAAGGTAAACTAACTTTCATCATCTAATTTATACTGTTTATACAGAATAGACGTAAGTACATAGAAATGATTTTGTTGTCTTATTGGATTTGAGAATATTCGAATTACTGATTGGATTTTTATTCACAATTAAAGAAAAAAAAAAGCATTCAGTAATATATTTGCCGGAACAAAAATCTCAAACTCGAATGATATGTACAAACAGATAACTAATATAAAAATGTAAATACTTTTCCAGGGTCCAAATTTCAAACAAAAAGCAGACAAAATTAAATTGGCGTTAGAACGCATGCGCGAGGCTAGTGTAAAGAAGATCTTCATCAAAGCTTTTTCTGTGGATGGATCTGCCAAGAGTTTAATGGTCGACGAGAAAATGACATGTGGTTATGTTGCAAGACTGCTGGCCGACAAGAACCACGTCAGCATGGAGCCGAAATGGGCGGTCGTTGAACATTTGCCTGATTTGCATATGGGTAAGTAATTAATTTACATAATCTTGAAACCTAGACAATAACAGTATATATATAAATGAAGAAGAATGAAGCGACTATGGGAATTTACTGGTCGAGGAATGGGCAGTAGCGTCCTTTTACACATCACCAAAGTTAACTGCGGTTATCAACCCGCCTACCAAGCGTGACCACTATTGGTAAAAACCTCTTAATGTGGGAGGCCTGTATTCCGCAGTGGACACTTAACAGCTGATATGATTATGATAATGAAATCTGCAGATGACGGTAATTAGCATTTATCATAAATGGTTACACTTCCGACAGATCTAATTTATTTAGTAGCTTTGTATCTAAAAATAGTAAAAAATAGAATAGAATAATATTCTTAAATTTTTACATTATTACAACAGAAAATCTGTACATTCAATGAATAGAGACCTAAGGAACATTCCGTAATGTCTAAATGCGTGGGTATGAGAAGGCGAAATGCAGCGATAAGTTCCAGGAACTAATTAACATTCCTCAAAGAACGATAGATAATAATAATGGATAGGTAAGCTAGGTAGGTAATTAAGATAGATAGGTAACATGAGTCGAGTAATTAATATTTTTCTTACATGCTATACATATTATGCTTTTTCTTTTCTTACAAACAGCGCTGTCAGTTCACTGTTAGATGACTAGAAGTGCTTGTTATAACTTTTACATGTAAGACATTTAAATAATAATTTATCAAAAATATTTGAAATATAAAAAATACCACTAAAATAGACTATACAAATTAAAACTACACATATCAGGACACCTTGAACTTTGCGCAGTTATTTTAGAGCATATATTATTCCAAATATTAAGTAACTCCGCTCTCTCCTCGCCTTTACAAATTAAGAGCCTCTGTAAAGTGATAAAATATTGGTTACCTTGAATTCAAAACAAAATACTTCGTTGTATGAAATTGCTCTATTGTTATTTGCACAGGAATTTATTGTTCCAAACAAATCAAATAACAATTGAACCGCTTTTGTATTTAGACACATTTCGTTCTAAGAAATTATTTGTATCTTTGTATTGAGTAATTCCAAATTTATTTGTTTTGTTCAAAATTAACCGTAAAACCGCATCTAAATAGAGGAAATTTTCAGGCATTATTTTAATATTCTTCTACTAACTGTTTCCCGCGGCTGCCCCGCATGATTCAGTACATAAAGTATCCTATGTATAATGTAATATAACGGTCCTAAGCCACCTGTATCCATTGACTCCCTGTAATGCATTTGAGATTGTCACTCCATCTAATGCGGGGAGGGGGATCGTCCTATACTGCTTTTGCCTCTACAGGGTCGCTATTTCAAAACCTTTCTTCCCCATAGGTTGTCGGTGCATCGAGCTATGTGTCCAGTTTATTACCTCTTCAGCTTGCTGTTTATCTTCCGCATTTATAATATTTAGTATGATTTATTAAGTCTAATTCCTATTGGATGCATAAACGAGAAAGGAATTGGTAGTAATGGGAAGGTTAGTCCCCATTGCTATCAATATACCTTCAGGTCGATCTCCACGCGGTTTCCCCTGGAAACCATCGTGATTTTGTTTCGTTGAATTCGTCACGATGGGCTAATTGATCTGCCTTTCATCCTCACCAATGATTCCTCACTAGTGCCCTTCCACTGTATACCGATGACGCAAATGGGGTTACCATTCCATTATCATCCATAAAAAAATATTCACCGATTATTTATCACTGGTACACCGCTAACGTATACCGATAGCGCAGACGAGTTTACTATTTCATTTTAACCCTTTAAAAAAATTATAAATACGCTACCTACTAGTGAAGCTAGTTATTATTGACAAATAATACCTAAACTTAAGTTATGATCTGTGAAGTAAAAGCTTTTATTACTATTTATTGAAATACTGTTTTTTTTTTTTTCAGAACGTGTATATGAAGACCACGAAATGTTAGTTGATAACGTAATGCTATGGACCAGAGACTCAAAGAATAAGATCTTATTTTCTGAAAGACCTGACAAAATTGCACTTTTTCAAACACCTGAGAAGTTCCTTTTAACTGAAGATGATAGAGGTAAGGTATTACAGTCATATTAATTATACATATTTTATAGCAAAATATATACTATTCCATTAAACTAAACACATGCTATACCTAATAGGTTATGTAATTCGATTTTTTTCTTATATTAACTTAAGAGTTATCAGTACTATATTTTTATGACGGTAATGATTTTATATTGGTCATGGTCAAATCTAAATTATGTCAGGGCCATTAGTAGTTGTTTGTTGTTGTTGTGAACATTAGTGATTACATGCCCGGACGTTTAAGAAACAATAATGGCAAAGGGCATTTAAAGGGGACTTTTTTTATACAACTCGGTATATCAAACAAGCTGACACGACCCACCCGATGGAAAGTGGTAACCATCGACTATAGACAAGAGCAGCACCATGGACATTGTAGTTTTAATTATACCACATCAATCAACAATTAATTCATAAATATTATGAATTATTAGTTCACGATGTTCTTTGTCAGTAACATCAGATATTCATTCGTCATTACATTTGTTCAAGACTAGCTTTTTTTGTTACTGTCGTAACCAGATAGAGTGTAACAAAACTATAATCTCCATTAGGTTGGTCCTGTGAACACGACGAACATTCGAGGCAAGTGATAATAGAAGAATTCTTTGGTCAAAGCGGCGGAACTATAAGTTCCATGCCGTCTGTATCCGGTCACTCCGTGCCCCCAATGGAAGGACCTCTCTATCTAAAGAGCGAGCTCAAAAAGGGTTGGAAGAAGTTCCACTTTGTGCTTCGACCTTCTGGTAAGTAACTGATAAGTGCGATCGTGTGGCCACACAATTTTTAGGTGATAAGCGTTGCGAATTGGCCTATGCGAATTATTATCTGCCCACATTGTACACGTCGTATCCCTTACTACATTAGCCTTGATTTATCTCTCTATTAGGTCTCTATTACTCACCGAAGGACAAGGTGAAGACGTCAAAAGAACTGGTCTGCCTGGCAACATTCGACAACAATGAAGTATACAGAGGATTGAATTGGAAAAGGAAATATAAGTCGCCGACTGACTATTGCTTCGCTATCAAACATCCGAAGCTGCAACAGCCAAAGAGTGTAAAATTCATTAAGTTCCTATGCGCTGATGATCAACAAACGCTAGAAAGATGGGTCACTGCCATGAGAATAGCGAAGGTAAATGCATTGGAAAAATATTACAAAAATACATTATAACTAATTTCTTAAAATTATTATCTACTTAATAATAAATATATTTTCAGCATGGAAGGCAACTATTGGAAAATTACAGAGCTTTGGTAGAAGAGCTCACCCAAGAGGATATAGACCATCTAGCACATGCTCGTTCATGTTCTGTTAGTATCTAAAATAAATATTTTACAAACCACACACTATACACGCAACAAAAGAAATATATAACTTCATAGCATGAAGCCAAAACATACTAATATGCTAATATAAACCAAGTTGCAAATTTATTATTCTTGTAAATTCTTAATTTAGTTGGTCAGCAAAGGATTTATAGTCTTTGCTTAAAATAAGTTCAGTATAAACCAAGGTTTAAGTTTATAACAAAACATTACAAAGGTCAAAGTCATAAGTTTACAACTGTTTAAAAAATAAATACTCTACTTCTTAAATCAGCAACATCATTAGATGTATAATTGGTGTATCTGTTCTTCAAATTCTCTTTGTCAATTTGCATTCAACAACTATACATATAAACACTTGCAAGTAGACCTTCGTGAATATATTTAGATTAAATCAATGTGTTTTATTTTTCCACGTTACGTGGTACAAATGAGATATTTGTTTTCTATAGATAACATCGATACCTACAAAGACAAACGGCAACGCGACCGTGGGGATCAACAGTCCAGCGCAGTCGACTTCTAGTAACGTTAGTGTTGCCAACTCCGACATCAGTAGTGGCAGGTTGGTGTTGCTATGTAATTTTTGATGTTGTACAAAACACATTTTAATTATCTACGGCTTAATATTTTAGTTAAAATTTGTGAAATTAAATTTTTTTAGTCTTTTTTTTTCTTAAATAATAGTACCTGCCGTGATACTTATTGCAAAGCGAAATTATGCCTTTTATGTAAATATATACTATCTTTGCAATTTTTTGGTATATTATATATTGTTTATTTTGTTAATAAATCTTAACTATTTTATTCCAATATGGACTCGAACCCATATACCTTACCTACTATTAACTAATTAAATTAACAAACAATCATGGAATCTTTTTTGACTAAAAATGTATAAATTGAGTGCTTTTGTTTAACAAATATACATAAAACATCTGAATATATTTAGATATTTCCTCACAATTTTGGTTCATAATAAAATAATTCCATTTGTGTTTTATACTCTAAAATAACATAGGTAGCTTTTTGATATAGCTACATTATTAACTCGCTATTCGCTTCTAATATAAAATATTTAAAAGACAAAATGATTCTGGCATTCTTGGAAAGTTTGCTGCGAGTATCATCAGTAATCATTGTGCGTATGTGAATGCTCAAGTTCGTGTATTCAAAACTAATAATTTTATTATGTTTGTCTACAGACATTCCCGAGCTTCGTCATCTAGTTCGAGCGGCTGTCTTTCTGATGGAGGCACGGCCTCGGAGAGTGCTTTTGATTGTGAATTTCCTATGGGTATGTACATGTACAAATAGTAATATATATATATATATATATATATATATATATATAATATATTTATTATTTACTAATAATTTATTTATTAATAATTTATCTTTAACCCTTTTCCCCGTTGTTTAGTCTTATTATTTTCCTATTACGACTTGACCAGACAATTTTAATCCATTTTAATCTCCATCCTAAGGTTGCCTGGAAAAGATCGCTATTTAACGATAAGGCCGCCCATTGTTGCCTCTTTGTCGTACTTTTATACATAAATTGAGTATTTATTTTGTTTGTTCACATATTGTTAATCTTTATAATCTATAACATTCTTTGAAGAGAACAATAAAGAGTTCAATTCATACTTTTTGGTTGTATAAGAAACGGTGGTTCTTAGTATATGTTTAAAAGGCAATAGAGTTAAATAAATACTATGGTATAATAAACAAATCCCTATAAGAAATAAAATATTTAGCTTTTTAAAATAGCTAATTTACTACAACAATAACATTTTAACAGTAATTTCTAATAATCTTAGGTACAATAAAACGCAAACCATCGATGAAACCCAATATTCCTTTGACGTGGATGACCCGGCAACTAAAAGAAATGGTCGAAAAAGGCGGCGATTGTGAGGGAGAAGAGGAAGGGGGCGGTGACGGTGGCACTCTCACACGAAGACCAAGAAAGACTAGGACTGAAGATTCTACGCTAAAACGCCACCACACCCTTGGTAAGTATATTCGTATTTGGTAAAGTGTCTTAATATGATTCTGATAACTGAAGAATGATACTAATCATCTATCACTATAACAAAATGTAATTTTTTTATGAAAAATAATCTAGCCATTTTAATAATCTGTTTATATATTCAGTACTTATTCAATTTATTTGGTTAAGTCAAGTTTATCAGTTTGCAGTAAAAATAAAAGAATTCATGTGTCTAAAATTTTACTTGTAATTGTAAAAGATAGTTTGTTTTCACTTTTAATCTGCTAACCCTATAAGTGACATAAATATAATAGTAGGTTGCGTAGATATTAGGAATTATTTTTTTAACAAAATATTTCTTGTATTCAGAATCTTCAGATAAAGTCGTGTACAACACTGCGAGCACCAGTCACGTTGTATCAGTTAGCAGCCCAGTTCGACACGAACCACCGTCGCCTTCGTTTGGGCACTACGAAAGTATACCTCGGGATAACATTTATCGAAGTATCGGGGATAACAATTCCTCTCTATATGGTTACACCACAATTTATGACAAAATACAAAGGCCACAAGAAGCTAACAATGTAGAAGATCTTCCTTTACCTCCTCCGCCTAACGAAGATATACCAGACGCGATGTTTAGTTCTACTTTAAGTTTAGATTCACTACCACCTCCTCCACCATTAGAACCCATTGAAGATCTTTCTGGATCGCAACTTAGTCTCCCACCACCACCACCTGAGCATACTATAGAAGCCCACAGCGGGCGTGTTCACGATATAGTAAGCCAGTTGACAGCACAACAAATAGAACAAACAGCTCGAGCGGGTCAATCCAGAACGAGTTCTCGTAATTCAGACCCAAGTCGTACCTTTCCACGCCAGCCTTCATTGGATAGTGTTAATTCTGACACATCTCGCACTTCGTCACTACATTCGGATAAAAGTATGTATGGACAACAAAACGTTGCATATGGAGCATGTCTTGTAGAACTTCAGACCAAAAAAATAAGTAATGGTAGTCCATCGCTTCAAAAGAAACTAACTTCTGAAACAAGCAAGGAGCGCACCACTTCAATAAAGAAAGTTAACTTTGCGGATGACTTGCCTACTTGTTCCGATACCAAAAAGAATAAGAAGATTTCTTTTAATCTCAAAGAACCACCACCATCGTCTCCTCGCAAGCCACCACCGCCAAAAAGAAATGAGAGTACAAGACTTTCATCGCCTAAAAAACTGGCAGATTCTAATAGTAATCCACCGAAAGAATTCTTGAAAGATTTGCAAAGAGTGATGAGGAAGAAATGGCAAGTTGCGCAAAAATGTAAATTAGAACCGACGACAACGCCACACGAAGTATTAGGTTTTCGAGAGTATCCGCTATCGGAAGTTTATAAAGAGACAAGTGTATCCATGTGGGTGCAAGAACATTATGGTAGCGGTGTTGAAGATCCTTTTTATGAAAATGTATACGGTCGGGAGCCTCAGCCACGGCGGGAGGAACCAAAACCTATTATTAAAAAGCGACCTCCGCCTACTCCACCGCGCCGTAGCGAGTCGACACATCTCTCTACTCATCCGCACGTCACCACGACGCAACCTACCGTTTGAATAAATCATAACTATTGCTGGTATAGAATTCTATTATTTTTTATTACAAAGAACATAAAATACGAGTATATCTATCTAATGTGGAATTATTCTTTGAATGTAACTGACTTGCGTCATTATGACAGTGCATAATGAGATTGACGTTTTGCTAAATATTACTTACATAAACATGTAGAAGTTTGAAACACTAGATTAGATATGAAATGAAAAAGCCTTTTTATTAAATAACATAAGCTCTCTGGATATAACAAAAAGTTATAGAAAAATGTAATCATAGATAAGCCCTGTACACTTAGGGTTGTTACTTTTTACGTGACCAGAGCGAATAATAGTAATTCTTTTTAACATTTTATACTAAAGTGACCAATTTCGATAGTTACGACCATATAAAAAAATATATTATAATTAATAATTTATTATAATTCGAAAGGCGGTGCTATTTTGAAAAAGGTATACTAAGGGATGTGGTTGGATTTTGTCTGTCTACTTGTGAAATTTGGGGAACTTCTTCATTGTCATGTAGGTTAGTTTACAAGTATGGTAAATATTCATATGCTGAGTAGTACAAACCTCGGATAGCATTTCTGGTATGTAAAAGCAACACGAAGTTCGCAAATTACTAGTAGACAGTACAATATGTTTATTGCATGAGTTGGAGTTTTGTCAATTTTATGTTATGTTCCTAGATAATTATTGAGTGTTATTATTATAATATTTGTGCGCTAATCGACACAGATAAATTTCAGTATGTTATGTGCATGTAATAAACCCTCTTGCGATGTGAGATTTTATCTAAATCGGCAAGCGATGATGCTATTTATGTATTTACATCGCGTATTTTGAATTAAAAAAAAAAATGTTAACTAGAACTTATGATGGTAAGGAATAATATGACTAAGGTAATTTTACATATAATCAAATTAAACAAAGCCTTATATAAATAACGTTGATGTACCATTTTTGTATTTTTACGATAAGCGACAAGATAGATTGCAATGCAGCTTTTCTATCACAGTAGTCGCGTATTGTAACTGCCATGCATTAAACTATGTTACTTATAAAAATCATATTTTATGTGTGTACTAGTAGATTAATAAAATATTAAATATAAAGGAAATTTTGTGCCATAGTCACGTTAAAACTGAGGTCGTAATTGTATAGCTTCATTGTTCATTATTTTGCCACAGGTTATTATTGAAAATATTTGTACATAAAAAAATTATAGGTACAATCTATTATTCATTGGATAGATCTGTCGTTAGTAATGTTCGATGTAGCTATACCACCAATTCCGTATTGAAGAAATGTTATAGATAAGTAATTATCATATTATTTGCATGTTTTAATTATTATTTCTAGTTTGAGAGATCAGTTTACGGGATTGATTCTGTATTTATCTCTAAATTATATACTCTAAAAATATATCTTAAATTTGTGTATTTTAGATATAAGTTTAGAGAATTTCTATTTCAGAATTGTCACCGTTAAACTTCAAATATTATATTGTATTGTTTAATTAATATTAAATAATAGATGTTTTCGAAATTGACGGTAACAGAAGGGGGCAAAATGAAAAATATACAGAACTCCAATGTGTCTGATCTCACTGTACCCGCAATAAGCGTTAATATTATGTTTGGGCTGTGATTTTGTCGTCTGGTTTAATTTGCTGACATTTATTTCATTATTTGCACAACATCTGTCAACTGAGCGAGCATGGCGATAATTGTTCCCAATCCAAGTATAGCTAATTAAGCTTCGATCGAATACCTGACTAGGTTAAATTTTATCTATAATTACGTACGAAGCATTTCGGTAATTTAACTTTATTAGATGGTAACATTAATTAATTGAGGCTTTAAGTCACAGGTAAAGTGAAGCGTATAAGTATAATATTATGTAATAACGAAATATTATATCAAATGTCTCCTCTAAATTTACTAAGCCTAGAACTTTGTTTTTACTTTATCGACGATCTGGCGCTAGTAGCGTAGACGGAAGTCTAAATCTGAACATTCGTTATTTTTTCTGAGTACCTAGTGAGATGTAAGTTTTTAACATCACATCTGTCAAAACGATCACGGAATATACTTTTCATTATTTTTTACCTTTTTTTGTAGTTTTTCTTTTTTAACAAGTTTATTAGAATATCAATATTCCATCCATATACGCATTCGAATAGCGAAGACTGATTTAAAAATTAATTGGATTTTGACAATAAACGTACGTCCAAAAAATAACAGAGCATGGCGGGCACTTACATAAAAATTTATTACTTATAAATAATTCACATTTCTTTTTATTTTATTTTAGTGTAAATTCGTGTTAATCTATAGGTACGTAATAGGTAAAATCTATTAATGTGCATGCCTTTTGGAATTATTGACGGAATTTTTTCAAATTTTTTACGTTTAATTTTTAATCTATTGATCACTGTACTATGTCTACAAGTAATTGTTCTCAGCTCTGTAGAACCGACCATTTGTACCGACATAGGCTAATTTGATGTACTTTAGCATTTTAGTAAAAATGCTCGAATGAATTTTACTAAGAGAGGCTTTTTATGTAACATGCCTACTATACAGGTATATTTACGTACACTATATTAAATGACTACTTTTAAAATTAATTAAAATAATCGATAACTTCAAATTGTATTACAATGATTTATTTAGCATCACAAATAGTTTTAGTTCCTATCCTTTCTATCAAGCTGTACTCAGATATTATAGGGGACACACATATGTGTGTATCCTATAATAGCTGTATATATATATATATATATATATATATATATATATATATATATATATATATATATATATATAATATCTAATCATGAGCGTCATAGTGTATTCGGCTTATTTGCATTCAAGTTGTTTAAAAAAATATTCCTGTTAAACTTTTATTAAATCTAGCTTATGTTAATAAAAATATAGTTAAATATAATTTGTTCAAGTGATTTCAAAAGAGAGAAGATCCTTAGTCCGGTTCTATTTATCCGGTAATATTTATTTAGTTCAATTGGTCCGGTCTTATATTTGCTACTTCAACTCCATCATTTATAAACCAAAATTATTTAAATTAATTAAAATAATTAATAAAAATTTAATCTAAACCGGTTCAATAGTTTAAATTTAAATCCAAATAATTTTTGTCACTTTTAAAAAATCATAAATTATTTTTAAAATTTAACTTTCAATGTGCACAAACCTATTTAGTTATCTAGCAGATGTTATCAGTCTTATAGTATGAAACTCTCAAATACCCTCGCTGATAAATCTCTGAATATTGATAGTTTCTCTATTATGCCACATGTTTGAGATAAACAATGTCAGATACGCCACTTTTATGTGCTTTTTCTATCTTGAAAAATTTTATTACACAATTGACAAAGTGAAGCTAAAAAATTGTGTAATTTAAGAATACTCTATTTGAAAGGCTACGTAATATCCTATTACATTATTACATAGGTACCTACATATTTGCTAACAATAAAATAATGTGTCTGAATACCTGAAAGCGTTGTCTTACAGTGGCACGTTTTCCTCGACATAAATATAGTATAAGGTAAAATAATCATTAAACGTTTCTAATTTTGTTAACGTCCGATTACAAATTAAATTATTACTTGATAATCGATTTTTTGTGGAGGTAAATCGATCCGATAGACAACGTGTAAAAATTAGTAATCCATACAGATAAGAAAAATCTCTTACTAGAAAATAACATCTATTCATAATTTACTCCCAAAAAAAAAGTTCCGAATGAATTTATTTATCGTATCCATTAAAATTCACATATTTTTAGCCAGAATAAAAATATTTTAATAGGTATGCTGTTGGTATAATAGTAACATTTATTTTCTCATTATATGTTGTGCCCTATGAATGCAAGTAATAACCTTCCAATAGTTAAATTAATTAATACTGTTGTTATGTGTAACATGCTTTTACGTAATATTATAACATAATTAGTACTTAATTTACCTATAATTGTTTATCTATAGATGAAACTAGTTAACACTGTCAAATGCGTCGTCTGTTCAGTTCGCAGAAACAATTTTATGATTTTATAGACCTTAAAGTACTGAAATATAACACAACTACCTATGTAACATTGTATATATACAAATATCAACTATTAAACTGTCATCATAGTTATTAAATTAAAATATTAGGTGCCCTAAATGTTTTATACGGGTTACAGTCTTTACGTTCATGATACCTTGTGTATTTGAAAATTGGTTAGTAATCACATTTTATGTATTTAATGCATTTATTAGTAATTTTAATTATGTTTACATTGTACAGAACAAATTGATTATAATATTAATTCTTTGTATATTTTTTCAAATATAATGAAATTCCAAATAAATTTGTACTTTTATTAAGTAGATATTAATTAACGAACCACATCATTAACCTTTATATAATATACAAATATATAGTTTGTCATTATAGGTTGTTTTTAAGTGGGTGATGATAGAATAGTAACCGGCTGAGCTATCAGTTTACGTTGACAGAGCACCGGTGAATGATAGATGATGATGAAGTCAGGTCAGTTAAGCCATCGTGACTAATTCGCCGAGAATTAACCACAATGTTTACAAGGTCGCGCTGTTAGAATAGACTGCTAGCAATGAGACCGTTAGAGCATTACTAATAATCCCTTGTCGCCTATCATCATAAATTACAATTAGTATATCATCATCATCATCATCCCAACCATTATTTGTCAACTGCTGAACATGGGCCTCCCCCATAGACTGCCATAAAAAATACATGCTTGCAATGACTCCCTGCAATGCATTTGAGGTTGTTACTCCATGTAGTGGGGGGTCGTTCTACACTACGCTTGCTCGTATGGGGTTTGCACTTAAGAACCTTTCCTTCCCATCGGTTGTCGGTCCTTCTACATCTGTGACCAGCCCATTACCACTACGCTTGCTTATCCATAGGGCGTTCGACATAAGCTGACTTTAGTTTTTTTGTGGATATTTAAAGATATAGAATCCTATATCCGCAAACATTTGTATATAACACTGTTATACCCTGATTATTAAGAGGGTAGTAGCTATATATTATTATACATTCACTTAATACTAATTACACTTCAAAATTAAAAAATGTTAATAAATTATTTTAATCATACTTCTGCCAAATCAGCTTCGTTATGAAATTTTTAATCACTTGAATGCTTAAATGTGATCAAAAGTGGCCTCTAACTATCCCTTTACTAATGGTATTTTTTATTTATTAATTTATAAATTTAAAGTATCAAATAGTATTGGTTGTAATAGACACACAAATAAAATTTATTCATTTATTTTGTCAAGTGTTGAGTAGCGGTGTTTGTTACCAAACTCCTCCGAAACGGCTTTACCGATTTTTATGAAATTTTGTGTGCATATTGGGTAGGTCTAAGAGGCGGCCACTATCGATTTTTCATACCCCTCAATGATAAGGGTGATCTACTTCTACATTTTTTTTTAATTTTTTAACATTTTTTTTTTATTTTTATTTATTATGATTTAGCATTGAAAAATACATTCAAATTCAAATTTTCTCGCTTTTACGACCAACCCCATTTTTTTAGTCGCAATTTTTATATGCCACAATAGGGTTGCAAGATGGCGATCGAATATAATAATTGTAGTAGGATAAATTTTTATGTATAGTTCTCGAAACAATGTATATGGTAAAACAACGTTTGCCGAGTCAACTAGTATAGTATAATAAATAGGTTATATTACGACGAAATATCGTTGCTTCAAGTAATTACATTGACGTACACATAAACATGTCACCGTATTGCCAACAATTGCCAATCTGATTGGTAACGGATATATATATTTTTTTTATTTTAATTGAAAATTTTAAAGTACCATACATTTCAATTTAGCTGCAATAATAATGTTTTATAATATTTCTGTATCAATATTGTTATAATTGTATTATTTTGAAATTATCATGACTGACGAAAGTAAGCAAGTACCAATTTAATTTAATTATCTTTTCTAGAATTTGATCTCCCTTATTTCTAATTTATTGAATATATACTACACTACCATATTAACTTTTTATTATTACATTTCTAGATATGAATGTTTCCGTACAGAAATGATTATATGTAGTATATTAGGATATTTAGGATTTCAGGTTTTTAAGTTTTTTATATTTTTGCATTGAAATGGTATTTTGATACTAATGCAAAAAAACAGATATAAAGAGGAAAATAATTATTTTTTATAATGGATAAACTCAAAAAATACTCAACTGATTTCAAAAATTCTTTCACCTATAGAAAGCAACGTTATCAGTGTGCTGTATGTAACATGTGTAACATGGGCTGTAAGATAGTCAGCTGATGTCCAATAGTAACACAAATTAAAAATCAATTGATTAATTCAATCGATTTATTACTAACTTTATTTAGTTTAGAACTATCTAATCTATTTCTATGATAATTTCTACAAAATTTGCTTATATTTTCACTCAATTCTAGTTATTATTTTTCTTAAATCATCCTTACATTTTTGGAAATTAATGATAAAACCCTACATAAATAAAATCGTATTTTAAAGAGGACTACAGATGTATGAAAATAAGCGGACACCTTGAAGCAGTGAGATGGCAGTTATGGCCACGAGACCACGTCTCCAGTTCAGGTTATCTGGCTCTTGGAGACTGGACCAAGGACCCTTTCATATGGTTACATTACATAGAAAGTACCGATGGATTATTCCTAAAAGACGACATATTATTGTGTGTTGATATATTATAGTTCTTTTCGACTGTCCATAAATTATCGATATTAGCTATTTTAAATTCATATTACAAAGACAAATAATTTTTATTAAGATTGAAATTAATATAGGTAAAGGAGATTCGTTTTTTATTTATAGTGGATAAACTAAAAAAATACTTAACCAGATTTAAAAATTCTTTCGCCTATAGAAGACTATATTATCAGCGAGTGATATTTTATTTCCAAATAATATAAGATTGTGTTCCACGAAAAAAAAAATACCGTATTCAATCGTACTAAATTTAATTATTATGGTTTTAATAATTCAATGTCTTTGATTTAAGGATTAAACTACTAAACCGATTTAGATAAAATTTCAATGGAACAATCTAAAAAGATATCCATTCAATAGAAATGAATTTTCCAAATCGGTTTATGAGATAATAAACATAAAAAATTGCCATTCTTGAAAACTAATTAGTAATGTCTCGATGTCTAATTTTATTGCCGTATCCAACACATTCTTATATCCTTCATACCGAACACAGCTTGGCGATAAAACTCATGAAACAAATAAGTATATTTTGTTATCACTTTCCATCAGATTGGTCGTTATGTTTTTTTTTATAGGTATGTATGTATTATTATAGAATGAGTTTGTTTGTTTTTGAAACAAGTTTTAATTTTTCTTCAACCTATTTCTATCATAACAACAAATCTGTTTTCTTTGAAAATAATTAGCAGTATAAAATTTGTTGTCTAATTTACTCAGAAGTACGGACACACGGTATTGGTCCATTCATGATGTACAACGCTATTTCTTCGGAGAGCAGCATTGCGAAAAAGTTCTTTTCCCATACCAATATCCTAATATAAGGATGCCCACAACACTAGGCAACTATTTCTGGAGAGCCAACACTGCATTAAAACTACCTTCAACTTCGTATCAGAAAGAATTTAACCGGTCTTTGGAAGTAACCCTAAAGGTTTTACATTCTTTATTTATCTGTGGTATTATTTATTTTATCTAAAAGTAGTAGTTATATGAAGAGATATATGAATAAGAAAAAAATGTTTTCTTTTTAAAAGTTGTTACAATTTATAAAACCTCATGGTAATATTTACAATATTATTTTATTTATGATTACAGAAAATGGAAGCAGAACAAGCACAAATGGATCGTATGATTATTTGTGACCAGCTGATTAAAATTGATCGTTTAGATGAGTTCAAAAGAAAAACATTTTTTCGTATTCTATTGAATATTTTAAGGTTAAAAATTTATTTAGTTATATAAGTATTCCTAACCGCATTCTGCCGCAGCTTGTCATAGATGCAATTATCTACTTATACAAAATTTAATTAGGATGTAGATATTGTACATACAAACCTTCGGTAAAAAATATTTATCTAAATGATCAACCCAACTACATAGAATATACCTATGTACTTAATACAAAAATATTTGTGACTCTTTATGAATTCTCATGACATATTGGGGTCGATTCTGAGGGACCATATCTCTTAATCTAATGTTTTAATTTGATAGTTTCCCGAAATTACTATTTTATTGGCTACCATAAACTAAATTCATAATAATTTGGACTTAAGTCTATTACAAATTTAGTTCATATTGGCCCTTAAAATAAATATTTCGCTGTGATATCAAATTTAAATTTTAAAGATAGGTTTAGAGAATTGGTGCTTCAGAATCGATCCCACTTTTTTTCAATAAAATTTTTTTGAATACTGGCAAATTTAAAATCAGGTTCAGCTGAGGAATACTCAACTGCTGCTATTTTCAAACTAAAATTGTATTATAGTTTCAGATTCTATAAGGCAAAATTATTTTTATATGTCGGAAATTTATCTGTCACTAACTGCAAAAGGAGTCATAAATAGCAAAAAAATGGTATACGCTTTTTCAACTATTGAGACTGGGAGAGTTTTTTTTACGTAAACTACGTCAGAAACCTTCGAGTATTTTATGAGGCCTAGAAGCTAAGAAGGATTTTTAGTATCATTACTATTATTAACAATTCCACCTTCCCCAGCTGGCTAGCAGCTCCATCGTTAGTAATATATCTGTCCCGTCGATGTTGTAATTGGTTCCGGGTAAAATTGTCACGACGAATCGATTGACCTGATTTCATCCTCATCTACATATACAGATAGCGTAGGCCAGTTACTTACCAGTTACCATTCTATTTTTATACATCTAAAAAAAAAACTCCCACCCTTCGATGATAGCCACTGATCGATAGTTAGTTGTGCTTAGATTTATTTCAGTCTTGTCACTTATTAATTTACTGCAGATTTTCATAGCGAATTTGTATTGTAACAGTTTTCAGGACAGGCTGCAACTTGTTTCCTTTGAAAATTTATGCTGCAAACGGTTAGAAGGAGTGCGATTGATCCAACAGCTCGCGTGCTTCAACTCTCATTCACTCAAGTATCTCTTCCTTTGGAGATTTGTATTACCCAATGAAAATCCGATACTTATCAACTACAGCTATATTACTGGTTTGCTATTATTTTACTTCTACACTATTATTATATTATATTGGGGCCAAGTCTTAGGCACCATTTTTCTAAATCTATTTTTTAATTTTTTTTTTAATTCACGACATAATGACTATGAATAACGACTATGAAACCAGTTTTACTCTCTGGTTGCGAAATGTAAGCAAAAACTACATGTATATCTACAACTGAAATGCGCATGTGACGTTGAGCGGATGAAGTTACTCTTAATGATAAATTAGAATTAGAAAACGGATATTGTGTTGAGTGAGGTGATTGAGGGATCATAGATAGGATTATTATAGATAGAACAGGATGAAAGTAATTTAGTAAAGGGAACCGCATGCACGTTAAATTAACAGAGTTCCCATATATCTATGAGGCTATTACACTCCATTACTAACAATACTTTCCTTTCCCCCGATTTACGCTGTTAATTGTAATAGGATACCAAATTCAATCCCACTAATAGTTTTATGTAACTTAGAATGGCAAACAAGCTGATGGCCCACCTGATGGGAAGTAGTAACCGTCTCACATAGACATGAGCAGTACCATGACATAACAGAGTATACTGTTTCGCCCATGATACTCCCCATGCGTTGCCATTCCTGAGGGCTCAGCTGTTATTCCTCTGTATCCTGTACTTCACTTCCATATCCCACCCTTCAAACCGAAACACAGCCATGATCACGGTAAATCTTTTCTTTTTATGCCATTTAATAATAATAACAAACGAGCTGACAGCCCATCTGATGGAAAGTGGTAACGGTCGCCTATAAAGTTTTTTTTTATACAACTGAGAATTTAGGTATTATGCCTTCGTACCCTGTAAATTCACTGTTAATAATGTTAAAATATTTAACTTTAGTAATATGTTGTAAGCAGTGCTGTTAAAACTTCGACGTTAAAACATTTTCATCAGGTACGGACATTAAATGTATTCAAAAGTCTACATTATTTTTTTAACTGGCGAATATGTTCGTATACATCAAATGACAACAAAAGTTTGAATTATGTATTCCTATTTTTATATAAAAATCGAAAACATAAAAATTGTCAAACAACGAACTAAAGTTATTTATATATTAGTATAATAACGAAATTATTAACTGTATCCCATTATTGATATTGTGTCCGAGTTTTAAATTATTCTGTTTTCTAATATCATGTGCAACTTTATTAGGCACGATGGATGTTTATATTGGAAATTTATTTTCCTATTTCACTGATGTAATCTATATAAAATTGAATACACTAGTCAATGACACTTCCTTGCGATGAAATGAAACCATTGTACCATCAACGTTGCCTTGGTTACACAGCTAAACACAAAGTATTTTTCAATTATGACTACTGATGAAGAAAAATCGAAATTAGCTAAACTTCTCCAAGGAATAGATATTCCTGATATTAAATTATCAGAAAGATGTTCAGAATTAGTCAATGAAATCCATAGTAAATACGAGAAGGAAGTAGAAGAAGAATCAATGGAAGGTTTGGATGAGGCCGCACATGTGAATCCTTATAAAGTCGATCGAATACTCCTGGATGAAATTGATAGAAAAATACATGAACTGATGTTTGAAAACAAACGGTATGACGATCGTTATTTGTCTAACCTGTAGTTAGTTACTTACCAATAAAAATAGAAGGATGGAAACTGTTTTTCTAATTGTTACACCAAGCATGTTCCGGGCTTAAGTATTGACCTAACCCCGCTATCTTTCGTCAATATTTGTATAAATATTATATATACAAATATTGATATTACAGTATATGCTTACTATTGTAATTAGGTATTGATATTTTTGAAAGCGATATGTTTAGTTTTGCAGTAGATCTCTTTCGAGATCACTCTAGAGTGATCTTTATTTACTTTATTAGAATGATTTTCTGGTCTCTGGTCTAGAGCAGCGATTGCTATCATCAGACTTCGATAAGATGAGGGGAATGAGGAAGAATGTTATAGTTAATTGAATTAATGACAAATTATTACCCAGTCACCAACTAGCTATTTCCTACCTACATGAATTTTTCGTACCTTCGTTGATCGATCTGTGGCACGACGAAAATTCTTTTTTCCTGTTATTTTACGACTTCCTCCGATAGTAGGTGCTCACTTTGTAGATACGTTATAAATCAAAAACATCTACTACTGATATTGTGACATTATAATTAAATTATTTGCAAACAATGATATGTTATCATTGTTTGCAAATATGCTGGAAAGAAACTTTACATGTATAGGTCGTATATATCGTGTAAATTGTGATTATTAATATTGTCCTCCCGATAACGGGGTCTATATAATACTTTCACAAAATGAGACGCGATATACTTTAGTACAAAGTCCTTCGAGTAATTAACTATTTACTAATGTTTAATCTTTATTAGTTATTAATTTCTATAGTAGTTACGTAGGTATGTAATAAAATTTAATCATTTTTTTTATTTCAGACTTAAAAGAAACAATAATTCAGAAAGTGACACGTTGCCTACTTCCGATCCGAAGAGACCTTGGCGCACTCACTCTAGTAAAGAAAAACTATTTCGTATTGATAGTGAACTTAAGAGACATCATGAAAAAGCCACAGAATTAATTACTCCATTAGCTGACAGTGATATGAAAGATTTAGTAATGGAATGCCAGAAGCAGACCTTTACTGCATGTGCAGTTACAGCTGATCGTCTTCGTGACACTGTAGATTCAGCAAAGAAAAATTTACCGAATTTTCAATATAAAAAAATTAACAATACTACTGCCACTGCTATTTTAGCACATGCACATGATGTAACCGGTAAAGAATCGGTTTCTTTATCAGAATTTTCGAATACTGATGATATATAATTTCTTTTTCTTTTTTATTCATAAATAAATAAGTTTTTACAGTCATAATAATGCCTTGTTATGATTTTTTTTAATGGTTGAGAACGTAATGGTAACTCCTGCTGCGCTATCGGTATAAGCTAGCGGGGCACTATTGAGAGATGTAAAGTTGAAAGCTGCTCACTTAGCGCAGTGTTACGAGTACTACAAGAATTTACCATGATAGTTTCCAGAGAGAACCCCGTAGAGGGCGACTTGATAAGGGTATATAGCTAGCAATGAGGCCGTTAAACCCTATTACTAACAATGTCTTTACCTTGTTGTAATTGTTTTCCAAGGAGGACTGTTATTCCATATCTTTTATAAGGAAGATAAATTGGAAAGGAATTTCCAAAAAAAAAAAAAATACAAAAGCAGGCGTCAATAAAATGTTTGCATATTTAGAAATTTATTTTAACAATAACGTATCTTCAATTTATGTAAAAATATAGAAATAAAATTTGTGTAAAAAATAGTTAAAAAATGAGAAATCTCCTTGTCTAGGAATTGATATGGCTTAATACGAGGACATTATAGCATAACTAATATTTTATTACAAATATTGGTGTACTCGCTATTGTGTTAAAAATATACCGATACATTAAAAGAAATAAAACAACATTTTTCATTAGACCAACGTGAATGAGTTATGGTAATAAGCCACAATTACCATAGGATTTAAGAATCCATTGGTATATGTATAGTGCGTATATGTGTAGACATTTACGTATCTCTAAATTTTTACTACGCCATCTATTGGCACTAAAAATCTATTACAAGATTGAAGATAAGTAGATAATAATATTATATAATTACGATATAAAATGACCTCCTTATTGTATTTTTTATATAAACTACTACTAATAATTATTATTTTAATTAGGAATTCCGTATTTTAATCCGAATCAAAAACTATGTAGCATTTAAATAAATAAATTAATTCCAAAATTTACAAAGCCCTTTTACGTGACGTTCAGTAAGTCCGTTATAAAATTTTGAGTTTTAGATCCTTTAGCAAATACTTTTTTTTTTTCAATATTTCCATTGCAATATCTGCGGCAGTCAGCAATTACTAGTTATTGAGATATAGTGCGTTGACAGATGGACAAACGGAAGGACGGCCAAACAAAGTCGCACCAAAACGTTTCCTTTGTATAATTTTGTTACGGAACTCTGAAAACACAATATTTATAATTGTTTTAAAATAAACATATTTTAAGTTATTAAAAGTACCAGTAACCGGCAAGCTTGTAAGAAAAGATTGATGAATGTGAAGGAAACGAAAGAAGCTTGTTTGAATTGAAGCATTTGACGTTCCATTGTTTCTATTTACCCTAATGGGAAACAGACGTGACAGATATGTATGTATGTTAATTTTTTTGGTATATTCTATTATTTTAAGATAGGAGCAACATGGACAAAACTATTTAAATTGTTTGGTATAATTACAGGCAGCGGTCAATATATTCCACGACCGGAAACTCGGCAATGTTTCCTTCGCAGTCTTGGCGAGCTGAAAAACTTGAGACTACTTGCCCTTGAATATTCTCATATTGCAGATGGCACTGGTGGTGCCCTTTTGTCCCTTCTGCCTGTACTTAAACGTCCACATTTTCGATTACAGGTAGTTGTCAAAATTCAGTTATCAAAATGCTTCAATAAGAAGATTTCGATTATCATGCGAGTATCATTAAACTAAATTCACGAAACTAATAACCCATGATATATGCAATGAATGTATATCTATTGTATTAGTCAAGTCTATACTACTCCTAGACATCACCATCTGTTAGTTCATTAGCAATAGTAGATATTCTAAAATATATCGTCGAGGTGGTGGAATGTGACTCGCCCTGTTAAGTACCACCCATGATCTTACTTATTTGTATTGTAACATAGTTGTGTTCGATCTAATTAAAGAATAAGATAGTCGATACATGAACGATAAATATACGTTAGACGGATGCCTCTGTGACGATAATGTTCTGTGAAATATAATATGAAGTTTTCTTCGGATCTTATGAGTTTCACTTCAATAATTGCAAATACTTCTTAAATTTCAACATCTTAATAACATATTATAATATGTATATTCATTAGGTATGTAAGAAAATTTGTGACTATATATTATAAACAAGCATAATAACCTTGATTTTTTTCAGTTGATATGCCGCGAAGATCAGACGCCTGGTCGCTTTGACCCTGCACTGGGTTGTAGCGGATATGATATTCCTGATACAGCGTGGCAACGTGTTGCCATCGCGTGCCCTGATCTCTACTTATTTATGGCTTTTTGTACGTTACTTAAACAAAATTTCATAATGACTCTCTACGCTTATCTTTCTGGAACCGTTAAAACTGATTGCATAAAATCAACAATTTATTATTTAGTAAGACTATCACAGTAAGATTCAATGTTTCTCTCATTCTACTTCTTACCATATATTCTTACTTACTCTTTACTCTTTCTTGCACTTGGTGAAACTTTGGCTATGATCAGTGGACTAACATTAGAATGGCAGAACGGGTAAAGATTTATAACATTTATTACATAACTAGTTTTAACCCAATTTTAACCCAGTTTTAATAAAGGGATTATGTTTCAAAGGTCATTAACCAAGATAGAAAGTAGCCTACAATAATAATATTTATTTATTTAGACAACATAAGGCCCATTTTGTTAGTTGTAAAATTACTTAACCTATGTTATGTCGTCGGCATAGCTTACGTTATTGATGCTTACTCTATGCACTTGCACTTACAGTATGCTTATTTACCAGCGTGCATTCTACTGAGCTCCTCCATTAGACCATTTATATACATACTAAACAAGTTGGGTGAAGTCAGCCCACTCTGCCTCACTCTGCATTTTAATCAGTATGAATCAAATAGAGCATCATTCCACCAAGCATGATTACTCTGATTATTGTACCAATACCTAAGAACTCTGACTAACTCTGTAGGTAGCGTAGTTCTAATAATTATTCCATATCCTTCTCCATTTCGTACAGTACCTGTCATCGTGATTAGTTAAGGCACTATAAGGTAACAAACAAACTTACTTTCATATATATATTATTAAGGATTTTATGAACAAAATTGTATTTAATAATTAGAGTATTAACTCATTTTTGAGTTATATATACATAAATATTTAAATTTGAATTATATATACGAATTATACAAATAAATTATCAATGCTTCAAGAAGGCATTTTCAAGTAAAACCAAAAATATTTTTCTAATATTATTATTTTAAATTCTGACGACTCAGCAGCCGCCCGCCCACGCCCTATTTTCATTTGATGTGCACAGCAAGGCCTTCTTGATGAGATCTGCAATTTGTCTGACTCATCATCAAGCATCCTGAACTGCCTGACCAGGCGTCGCCTCTCTCTTGTATGAACTTGGTGGCAAACAGGGATGGTGGTTTGTATGAGAACTACTTTGGAAGGAGAGGGCTACTCTGTGTAAGTAAAGACTCTTCCAGCGTTCTAAGTCGGACCTTGTTCGTTTCGCCGTATTTGTTGCCTCCTAAGATTATGTGAATTCAATCAATGTGGAACGTGTTGTTATTTTGATTAGGTTCGTGTACTACCTTCAACCGTATCTTATATTTGTAGCTAGTGATCAATTATGTTATTTCCATGGTTTGTTTTTATGTATTTGTCTGTTATCATCAGATTATCTGTACAACTAATGCCTACATATTTTATTATCATTCTACGCAGTTTATTATTGTTATATTTTCCATTGATATCGAAAATCGTTATTGTTTATGTTGTATGTCTCTCTCCAGAATGTGATTGTTTATGTTGTAACATTCTAACGAGTAACTGTCATTCACATAGTTTTCTTTATTGTGTTAGGATACTGTCTCAACGATTGTTATGTCATATTAGTCATGAATCGTAATAAATACCTTAAGGTTCGATTTCTAAACACTGATTTATAATGTACAAATCAAAATGAATTTTTTTTTACTATGGCTAGATATGATATAGACATAATGGTTTTTTTTTTGATGGGTGGAAGTGGAATGGTAACCCCGCCTGCGCTAACGGGATACGCTAGCGGAGCACTAGTGAAGGGTGATGAATTCATCAGGAATTAACCATGATAGTTTCCAGGGGGAACCACGAGGAGGTCGACCTGGTTGGGTATATTGCTAGCAATGGAATACTCAGTCTCCATTACTAACAATCTCTTTCCCCCCCAGACATAATAGTTATAAATGAAACATAGTAGAAGAAAGGCGAGGAGGGTTAGATTCTAATTGTACCGGATTTTTGGTTATGTCATGTTCTGCGTCCTACAAGTATGTGTAGTGGACGAGGTGAAGAGGTAGTGTTTTATATTAAAAATGTGTTAATTTAGTATCTAGCTCATCCTGATATTTCCTGTGTAAAACAGATGTGGCTTAGTATTACTGTAAAAACAACTACTAGTTAGAACTGACAACCGCCCACTTTGTCTTGATGTGGACACCTTTTTCAAAGTGGTAACTGCTCGTCAAAGTGGTAACTGCTCGGGGATTTCAATATTAATGTCTTTATGACTACTGATATATACTGATGCTAAAGTGGTGAAACTCAAAAGTTAACTTTATAGTAGTAACTTAACTCAAATAATAAGTTAACCAACTTCACTTTATTGAAAGGAATCAAACTTTAAGTGATTTTATATATACTGATGCGGGTACCTACTCTAAATATTGTGGTTGATCATGTCAATGAGCTTGGACATCATGCATTGCTAACAATAAACCCTATCGGGTCGACCACTATGCGGTTCCTCCTGGAAACCATTGTGACTGATTTATTGTTGAATTTGTCACGATGGGCTAACTAACCTGCTTCGTCCTCACCTATCTTCTTTCACTGGTGCTTTGCTAGTGTATACCAATAGCGCAAGCGGCGGTACCATTCCATTATCATCCATAAAAAAAAACACGTATATTCAATTGGTCTGTACACATCCATACTGTGGACACAAACATAAAACATACACGGCGTCACATAATGCTTTATAATGGGGGGGGGGGAGGAATGGTTAGTAATGCGGACTACCAATTCCATTGCTAGCAATATAACATGTGAGGTCACCACAGAGAAATTTTGTACAAAAGTCATTTGCTTGGACAGCTGTATCCCATTCGTGTTTCTACCGTGAAGTAGTTGTGTTTGTATGGCTGTTTCAGTGTGAAGGGTGGGACAGAGGAATAACACCTGAGTCCTCAGTAATGGCAACGTATGAAGGGTATCATGGGCGAAACAGTATACTGTATTTTTTCCATGGTACTGCTCATGTCAATAAACGACGGTTATCATTTTCCATCAAGTGGGTAAAAAAAAGTATATTGGATATACTTTTTTTATACAGACGTCGAACCTCCACGTGGGTCCCTCAGTTAATACCTGACCAGTTTGCCATGATAGACTGGTTGGTACCTCGCCAGTTTAACCGATATTTTAAAAAATATACCTACCTACATATTTAAAGCGGCAGACCTGTACCTGCTGTCGAATGACGGTAATAAATTGGTAGATTTCTTTTTCAGTTAATATATAATCTAAGCACCTATTTATTTGGATAACAATGTAAACAGAGTCTTGGGACTAAAAATAGGTAGTTTAGTTTTGCAAATCACAAATACAAGATTTAATTAAATTTATTAAACAGTTCGTGTTCGTGACTACGACAATGTCAGACGTTTCTTGTCGCCAAGTATACCACTACGTGAGGTCCATCTGCAATTCGGCATTGATCTCAAAATGGAGCGAAGGCAAAATTCAGACATTAGTTGCTTTATTCATTACATAAGCTTTCGTTATAGCAATACACTGGGTATGTGTTTCATTTTTTTTATAACAAACATGTAGACTGTAGCTTGGCTTCGGCCTATGTTGTTGAATATGATGACGATATCAGACGTTAACTGTCCACTGCTGAACATAGCCTACGTTAATAGCTGATAATATAGCTTTTTATAGATGAAATTTTTTTTAAAGTTGGTTGATTAATTTTTGAGTTTACCTATTACAAACAAACTTTCAAATATTTCTTCTTTATAATATTAGTATAGACTTCTATACTATACCTAAATCCGTTTTAATAAAATTGAATTAAAATTTAAGCAAAGGAATAATTGTACCGACCAAAAATAGAGAGTACAGGTAAAAATCGATTAATTGAATGTTTCAATTTGATATGGATTTCATTCAACTCCTGTGATAACAAAAAAACTACCTTTTTTATTAAGGTCTAGATGATGCCTAACATAAACTCAAAACTATCAAATTTTTTTAACAATGTATTAGATTAATATCACGTCATGTCATATGCAGTGTATTATTTAATGGAATCCATTCCTTAAAACTATTAGGATTCATTAACCTTCTCTGTTACATGTTATTATGTAGTGTTGTTTTTTAATGGGTGACAATGGAATGGTAACCCCACCGACCTTACTTATAATCCCTCACTGCCAGCGTATACTCTTAGTGCGGTCTGGATTACCATTCCATTAACATTCATTAGAAGAAATTCATGTAAGTAAATTTCAAAGACAAGGTGTGTTATGGAATTACAAGTTGAATGTATTACAAACTGTTGTTGAAATTAATGTCGCGATACTTCCTATTCTTATATTATTACTTTTGTACTGTTTTATAATATGAAAATAGGAAACCTAATAAGTTCTTTCTTTCAGTAACACTAAGCATACACCAATGGAGGTTCGTAGTATTTCCTTTAAGAAGAATATTCGAATTATTGCCTAGATTGGTACGGTTTTTTTACACTGGCAAAGTAGAAGACGAGATTGATTTAAGAAGAATGTTGCAAACAATATCATGTGGTGTATGCGATAGTTAGTACCTATAATATAGCTACCAAATTTTTATAAGTTTACTTAAGTTAATCTGATGTATCGCTGGATTACTTAGGTTTTGGCAGTTAATAATCGAGGGATAGGCAGTAGCGTCTCTATTACTGGCCAACCTGGCTACCAAGCGTGGTAACTACTGGCAAAACTCCCCTTACTAGAAAGGCCTATGTTCCGCAGTGAACAGTTAATGGCTGGTGTAATAATAAAAAAAAAATCGCTGGATTAAAAGTAAAATATATTACGTATTTGCAATTTTTGACAACTTTTATTCCTTTATAATTTAGTTCTTTAATGCTATGATAATTAACATTGCCGTCTTAGGTGGATACAGTGTATAAGTCTATTATATACCCCAAATATATAACTGTAGCAAAACACAACATTGAAAACAAGTTTGAACAGATTTGAGTTTAGAACGCTGAATCGGTAATTATAATTGGGATACTTCACTCGAGCAAGTTTCGATCTGGGGTGAACACAATCTTGTCTAACTCAACCCTAAGAAGACACAAGACTGGGCGTTCACTACAAAAAAGACGCCGTTTGTTCGTATCTTCTCACTTTCCAGGCACTTCTTATGATAATAAGTCGAGTCTAGGAGTCCTTGACGTTAATATATCCAGCGACGTCCAGTTTTTCGGTCATTTAGAGGAAAAGGCTAAGATGACCTACAAAAAATTTGATTCAATAGAGAGACACGGTATTTCACACCGTAACACCGCTTAAAATTAATATAAAACTCAACTAGGATCACATATGGAATACCGTTCTCAGCTATGGGCAGGAGCGCCACAGTACCAGTTCCTTCTGTTAGACCGCATTCAAAATGGAGCGGAATGGAGGAATTGTTCGGATTAATACCTGCTGCTTCACCTCATAATTTTAATTTTCTTAAAAAAATAAATGTATTGCTTTAAAAAAAAAGAGCATATTCTTTTTTAAAAGGCCGGCAGCATACTCGCCATGCCTCTGTCGTTGCAGGTAATTATGGGCGGCGGTAATCGCTTATCATCAGGTGAAACGCATGCTCGTTTGCCCCTTGTGTTATTAAAAAAAAATTAACTTCGCAACAAGCATAAATTTGCTTTATTTGCTTGCTGCAAAAAATTGTAAAAAATAGATGCTTTTATTTTTGTAATAATATATGAGAGCTTCACGGAAGCTTAAACCCTGGCGATATAAAAGGTTTTTATAATCGACTTAGAATTAGAATTAGAATTATCAATAGATATAGATGGTAACTTAGCAGCCATAAGAAAAAGACGTACCAAGAATCTATTTGGAAGTCGCGTCGGACCGACAGACATAAAAAAATATCTGCCTATGCTACTACTACACTATGCAAATTTGTCAATTTTTTAAACTTTCCAGGAATATGGCTCATATACGTCATAAATGATTTGACATTATGTATTTCAGAATTGAAGCAAGTAACCATTCACGTGCAGGATGAAGAGTCGAAAAGGTCTTATTGGAAAATGGTTATTAATTCTATCACGGAAGATTTTGCTGCCATTATGCAGTTATATGAAATTGATTTTTGTATTGTCACATACAAAATTTGAATTATATTATTTATAAATAAAAATAATGTTTTTATTAAACAAATCTTTGTCCTCACTTCTTCATGCAAATATTAGTTTTTTAACGTGAAAAAAAAGAAATAGGTTAGGTACTTTTAATGCATAACATAAAATGGTAGCACTATTAATTTGTGATGAAAGGATATCTATCAGTGAAGGATGAAGTCGTCCATTTAGATTTCGGCCCGATCGTTCTGATAGGCCGAATTCATTCTGTTTTCAAGAGACTCCGCGTGGAGGTCGACTTGACGGGTATATTGTTAGCAAAGGAGGCAATATTATCATTACTATCTCTCACTCCCCTTCTCCCTAACACATAAAGATTTTACGAAGTACATAAAGATTAATTTATAATGTCAATTATTTGTTTTTTTATATAATAATTTATTTCCATATGCAACCAACAAGTCTTAGTAGGTACAACAACAACAAATTGTACAAGTTTTTTAATTCTAATCTTATACGGCATGGAATATATAAATTAAGATTTAGCTGCTTCATTTTTTTTTTCATAATTTCATACAAATAATACTCGTATTCATACCTACTAAAGTGAACCCTATTGATTTTAAAATTTATCATCGCAATCGGTTCAGAAATTGCAAACGAATTAAAATTTGAATTTGATTTCTTATTTATTTATTTATTTATTTATTTATTCTGTATTGTACAATAAAACCTTGTACAAATAGCAAGCTTAATGCCATATGGCATTCTCTACCAGCTAACCATTAGGTAAAAACAAGAACCGACCCTATGAAGGGCAAATTTTTTTTATACCACTGAGGTGGCAAACAAGCATACGGCCCACCTGATGGTAAGTGATTACCGTAGCCTATGAACACCTGCATTACTAGAGGTATTACGCGCGCGTTGCCGACCCTGAAAAACCTCTTTACCCGCTTTTGAAGAACTCCATGCTGTAGTCTCTTGAGAAAACCTCGGCAGGGAGCTCATTCCATAACTTGAGTGTTCGTGGTAGGATTTATCAAATATCTTTGAAACCGTGAGGTACGCGACCATTTAGGCTGTAAGATATGAGGATGAACTCTCTGTCGATAGCGAGCCGTAAGATGAAAGAAAAAGTGTGGGCATCATATTGAACAATTCCTCTGAGCAGGATCCGTTATACAAGCGGTAGAACACACAAAGTGAGATAAAATCTCTCCTAAGACTTAAGGGTTCGATACCGCTTGTAAGTCTGGGATCATCTACAATTCTCATAGCTCGTTGTTGCAACGAGTCGAAAGGTTCAAGCTGGTATTTAGGTGCTCCCGCCCATAAGTGACAGCAATACTCCATGTGGGGCCGGATTTGCGATTTGTAGAGCATTAATCGCTGATCCGGCGTGAAGTAATGCTTCGCTCTATTAAGCACACCGAGTTTTTTGGATGCCAGCTTCACTTTATCTTCGAGGTGGCCACGGAATGTGGTGAAAAATATGTGACATACATGTAATTATAGTAACATATTGAAATAATCATAGTACATAAGAATATGGATTACTAATATATGTGATACATATATAGCTTGGCTATAATTACTGTTATGTGTACTGTACATAAAAACTTCTTATTTTTATTTTTTTATTATTTTGAATTTGGAACACATTTATTATTTTAAAAACTTCTTTCGATTTTGCGCCATGTCACATATTTTTTCGTATTCATCATTAAATTACAATATGGACATTCTATTTTCTTTATCACCCCATTGGGTGTTAAAGAAAATAGAATTGCAGTGATCGCCTTACACAAAGTGGGTATGGGCTGTCGGTTCCAGACACTTCAAAATCTTGGTATCAGCCATGTGTTTGTATATGGTACTATGAACAGATACAACGACACTTCCTCTATTGAAAACCAGAAAAGATCGGGGCAACCGCGTGCTGTTAGAAACTCGGTGCTTATCGTCGATATACTCTAAATCAATCTTTATAATTAAAGAGAGTGGATCGATCAAAACGCCTTCTGTCGCGATGAGCAGGTGAAAGGCACAGAAATATTCTCTTTACTGATGAAAAAATTTTTACGATTGAAAAACACTACAATAATCAAAATAATAAAGTATACGCTCGTAGTTCTAAAAAAGCTGCTAAAGTGGTTGGAAAGGTAGAACGTGGTCATCATCCTATGTTAGTATGGTACCACGTTATTATGGTGAGTTTAAGAGAATATGGCCTGCTCTAAAAGACACGGCGACATTGAGTATGTTAAAAAATCTTTGGAGCAAGTAGTGGGGAAATCTTTCAGATAAAAATAGAAATTTCTAAAGTTTTGAAATAATAAATAAAATAAATACATATTAACTGATAATCTTCTCCTTTTTTTAATTCGGTTAAAATACACTTATGTTAAATATACTAAATTACATACATAAACTGTCTATTCTGTTATGTCCATGGCACTGTTCATGTCTATAGGCGACGGTTACCACTTATCTCTATTAAACGAAGCTCTTGGACATGTTTAGTTAAAGCTGGCCAGCATTCACTGTCATATATTAGAACCGGTCTGATGATGCGCTTATATAGGTATATTCGAGTCGAACTTAGTCGAGTTTGTGTATATAGTATAACAATTCAGACCTGAGGGGATGGAATTATTAGTAATGGGGTCTAAATTCCGGATTATTAGCAATGCACCCTATCAGGTCAATCTCCACGCGGTTTCCCCTGGAAACTATCGTGAAATGAAATGAATTTAATTTATTTTACTTTAATTAATTGTGGTTAATTTTTATGTAATTCGCCACGATGGGCCAGCTGACCTGGTTCATCCACACCTGTTATCCCTCACTGGTGTCCCGCCAGCATATACCGATAGTGCAAGCGGGTTTACCATTTCATTATCACCCATTAAAAAAATACACTTCAGACGTTTCGTCATTTTGCCCATGTCGCGGCAATGCGGTTCTGTATGTGGTCATTTATGCCACCAAATTTATGTAAAATGCGCTTAGCCGATCTGTATACATATCTATCTATCAGAGGTGTGATACTTTGCCACTTTATAAATAAAATCCTCTTTTCCCGAGTTAGTCACTCTACTACCATGTCTCCTTGTCAATGACGCGCCTACATTTAGAAATGCTAAAGACTCGTTTTCCCGTAGTAGTGATTGTTGTTCTGACTCTTTCGACTTATTTCTTAAACTGTTTCAGTTGGGTCGTTGTTTTGAGGTGTCCAATGTCAGCTAGGAATTAATTATTTATTTATTTAGGACGACTCAGCAACTATCTATATAGCAACTATATAGGGAAGTTAACGTATCTCAGTAATCTTCATTTTAGGCACTGCAATATAATCAATGACTACAAGACGGTGAGCTGTTAAGCTTTCTCCTGGAATAACCTTGCGGTTAGTTATTTCATCACCATGGCGATTTTCTTCAACAAGTCTTTAGAATTTGGAAATGCGTGCAGTACATACTCGAACTTTTCCTATAACCTCCTTTTTAGATTCATAGCAATTAGACTACGGAGTATAAGCGCCTACTAGATTGGAGATTTTACCTTCCATCTGTACTCTAACTCTCCTTAGCCAATCGTTTCGCCAGTCTAAGTTAAGATGGTAATATTGAGGGTCATTAGACAGAACGACGGTCACACCATTTATACCCAGAGGTGATCCGGTGTACACTAGTCTGTATCCACGTTCGATATCACGAGACTTGTCACCTTTCCAGTGCGATTCAGGAAGAAAACAACACTAAACGTGATGTCTTTCCTTCACATACTCAAGTAATCGACAGTGCTCGTTTAGGAAACCAACATTTCACGTTACAAAGTGGAGTTTTATTTTGGATACTTGCGTCTTCAGCCGTGTCGCAATTGATACGTTAATCGTTGCATACTGCGCACAGGTTTAAGGCAACTTGCATGCGCGTCGTTTGACGGTGACGCTCTAACATTAGTCCAAAAATATTTTCTTGTCATTCCATGAAATTTGGCTTAATCTCAATAGATTAATATTGGATTTTGAGTTTTCCTTCTCTTGCATCAGTGTACCATGCCTCGTTCCCTTAGTCGCCTGTTACGACATCCCTGGGGATGAAAAGGAGTGATGACATATCTGATTCAGTCGCCAACATGGATAATAACACACTATTATATGTATAATATCATATATTGTATGAAGTCCATAAGGTTTCTAAAAATAATTATTTTACAACACGATAATTACATATGTACAATTTGTTACCTGTATATTCAAATTAAATAAATATTGTTAAGTTTAAAGATTACTAATTGTTAAATAAAGTTGTTTCAAAGAGTTTGTATTTATCTATTAGTTTCGATATATCATGTGCATGGTACAGCACTGTCCATGCTTACATTTAAATTTCACACACAAAAGTGTAATCACTTTTTTGTCTCGTTTTTTTAGTATAATATGGGGAAAAGTAAATTGTAAGGTTAAATTAAAAATAAAAACGATATCAAATTCTTATAATATATTTGAAAGAATCAGATAAATAGTCCATGATGTTTCGTAATATTGCTTATTTTTTACTGAATATTGCGATTTATATTTGAGCATAAATCTCTAATTCATATAAACTAAAACCTCCTACAAACCTATTTTATCTATTGTAGTAGTTGTCTCTTTCTTTTGTTTTAAATTCTCAGTTTAAAAAAAGTGACAAAAGACTGTAATAGCTAAAATATGTTTGTAGGAGAATTTAGTTTTTAGAATAAGGAGGTTAAAATATGTTTCCGTTTTTAAATAATTCAAAATGACCGCCATTTTAATTAATCCATGTATATTAATTTTTTTAATGGATGATAATAGAATGGTAACCTCGCCCGCTCTAACGGTATACGCTGGCGAGGTTCCAATGAGGGATACGTGAGAAAGAAAAGGCAGGTCAGTTAGCCCATCGTGATGGATACATTTGGAATTCAGCACCATGGTTTCCAGGGGGGACCACGTGGATGTCGACCTGACAGGGTATATTGCTAGCAATGAGACTGGTAGTTTA